TGGGATAGCACCATACCTGACTATCCCACTGTTGAAAGGTTAACATTATTTTGAATCACATTGTATATTTCCAAATTTAATGGGCCACTTTTAAATTGTGTATTTTCCTTGAGAAAGAATGAATGAATTAATGAAATAATTATCTTCAATCATTCCATAGATGTGTGTCCCTTGCTAGTAGTTGCAATATACAGACTATTTTTTGATTTATGTTGTTTATTTTACTGATGCATTTTTAACTGATTAAGAGTAATGCAATATCTATCCTTGCTCAAATTTTTGACAAATAAGCCAGTTATAAGCAAAAATATATATTTTGGTAATTATTTGTAATCTGAACATTTTATGCTCAACATATAAATATTGAGCTATATGAAAGCATGAATAAGTAAAATAAATAAATTACAAAATTAATTTTTAAAATAATTTTCTTGAGAACTGTAAATATGTAGCAACTTCTCATTAAATAATTTTATGCTTTATATTCTAATAATATTATAATTCTAAAATTCAATTTGATACAGTTCGAATGTGCTCTGCAGAGATAAAGTACAAATTTTCAATAAAGTCATTTGCTGAGAGAATATTTTTTATTCACTAATGTTTTCAGGCTACTCCTACAGGCCATCATCAGAATTCTTAAAACAGTTTATAGAAAATGTTTCACGAATAGAACATTCCATTTAAAATTTAACTTTTGAAGTATTCTAAATACAAATTTAAATTGAAATGAATTAAATAAATAACTTATGAACAGGGTTCCTACTCAAATTTTTGTTTTGAATTCCATGACTTTCCCTGACCAACTATGTTAAAATTCCCTAACCCTTTCATTTCTTACAGTACGGAATATCAACATAATAAAACAACATTTTTCTTACTGTGAACATCGAGTACATCTATCCTTCTTTTTGTGCAGTTGATACATTCCAAAGACTGTGCCAAAAAGTACAGTACATACATCCTGTAGAAAAATGTTTGATAGGATCCACAACTTCAATGTAATGAAAAAATAAGCAATTTACAGACAAAACATGGGCTTTTTTATTTTATTGTTTATCATTATTATTTGTATGTAAATTTAGTAAACATAAGGTAGCATAAAATCAACAACAGTATTCTCTGATATACAATAGTACTGTACTGTGCTTAAAAAAGATGAACTCTTGACTTACATAATTTTAAAACCAATCTTTCAACAAAAAGAGCAACTTTTTTAAACAGCAACATAATTTTAATAAAAAGTTAATTTAAAAATTTTTAAAATAAAGCATTTTTTTCCCACATAAAAAAATCAATTGGGCTACCTATTTGATATTCAAATCTATAGCATACTACAGTATTACTACAGGTATGATCAAAGTTGCATTTTTAAGCCCTAAATTTGCCAAAATCAGTGGTATTTGTTACCAAACTTTATTTCTATTAAACCAGTGTTTCTCAACCTGTGGGTCGTGACCCCCAGGGGGGTCACAAAGCCTTACATGGGGGTTGCAGGTAAAAGAAAAAGACAAGTGTTTGTAGGTGCTACACTACAAAAAAAAAAAAAAAAACAAAAAAAAACTACAATTTCAGTGAGAAGGCTATACCTGTTTATTTTACAGTATAATTGGTTTTTCAATCGATATTTAGGTCTCAACAGAAAGAAAATTAAATATGTAGTTTTTAAAATCACTGATATAGTTTTAATATGGCCCTGGGGGTTGCCAGAAGATTTTAACTTGTAAAATGGTCGCGTATTCAAGAAGGTTGAAAAACACTGTATTAAACTCTGTATCAAAGTGCAGAAAATTAACAGAAGAGAGAGAGAGAAATGCACTTACAGTACAGTACTTTCAAAGAAAATCATAACAACAAATTAAAATGTAAGTGACAATAACATGTAAGGTTTTTATGTTATTGTCAACCCGCATTTATGTTAAATCCTACTTACCAATGTCGTGTAACACACCTTGGTTTTTGTAATTTTAACAGCACTGAGGAGGGGTTGGGAATACAAGCCAACCCGAAATGCATCTGAATTTTTAAAAAAGTGTTCTTTTAAATAAACTGTAAAGTTTTTCTAACCATTGCTGTTTGATCGTCTACCAAAATTATCGTTTGGATTACAAAGACGCTACACACAGAATTTGAAGATACAGCAACCACGTCTTCTACATTAAGAAAAAAAATGTAAAATCCTCGTGCCACCCACAAGTCGACAAGAGCATTTTATATCTTTTACTGTAAATGTCAGGTAACTGTTTAAAACATTACTACATAACATAAAAAATTATAAACGTGAAAAACTATTAAATTGTAGATTTTTTTACTGACATATTTAGCTATTTTGAACTGAATTGCTGGAGTTTCAAAAGTGTATTATTTACTGCTATTTTTTTATTTACAGTTGGTTTTCTCACACATTTAACTTCATCTCAAGATTCTCCAAAGACCTTAATCGAATCTGCAATTGTAAACAATTTCAATACTACTCTAAAAAAATTGTTCTCTTCATTTTCAGCTGCAAAAATTTTTTTCAAAAGTTCTTGAGATGAAGAAATTACTCAAAGTTCAGTTGCATATTTGAATTAACTACATAACTGCATTTTAACTGTTAAAAAATATTTTTTGCAATAAATTTTCAAATTGCCATTATTATTTGAATGATATAGGCAATTCATTATCACAAACTAACAAGTCCACAACTTGCTCTAAACTTTTTAATTTCAGCATAAAGCACATTGTAATGAAATTCCTTAATAATGAAAATAAAACTGTATTTATTAGGTAACAGAAAAATATTTATAAGAAAACAAGAAATTTTAATGAATAAGCTGACCATAGATACACAAAAACAGAATAAGAGATGTTAATTTGTGCTCGATGTACAAGTGAAATGATGTAAATGATATGCCTGTATACTGAAAAGTGAATCAAAAGTTCTCATTAAACAAGAGTATATATGCATTCACTAACTTCCATGAAAATAAATATAGACTCCTTAAAAAATTCTGTATTTTCATTTTTATAAATACAAAGAATTTGTAAACATAACATAATTTTATATTAATATAGACAATTGTCAGACCAAATACATTTTTTTAATTTTTTTCTTTTATTGTCTACTAAAAAATAAAAACTAAAATTTTACTATATTTAACTTTTTTTTTTTTTTTTTTGCATTATTTTATACAGCCCTACGTGTGAATAATTCGGAATAACTAACAGTTTTAAAATTATAATATCTAAGGATGATAAAAACTGCTTTGCGAATTTTTCTTAAATTCTAAAATTTAAATACAATTTTAAATATATTCGTGATAATCGCTCATATCT